GCCGGCCGGCCGGCCTGGCGTCCGCCTTGCGCATCGACCGGTCGGCCGGCTGGCATGGGGACCTGCTGCCTGTGCTGCCGGCGGCGCGCGCCCCAAAGTGAGCCCGTGTGAATTTGGGTGACGGTGTTCGGTGCGGACTTGCGGTCTGGGCGGGCCATCTGTGCGCGCAGCTGCGGTCTGTCGCTGCCGCCGTTGCCGCTGCCGCCTGGCGGCCAGCTGTGCTGAGGACAGTCCTCTGTTGCCAGATCTGCCGCCGGTGTCGCGTCCGGCGGCCGCCGCGCCGACCGAGCCCCCGACGCGCTCGCCGCCGCCGCCGCTGCCACCTGCCGAGTCGACGCCGCGGCGGCTGCCGGCTGGGTACGCGCCCGCCTCGCCGGCGCGGGCGCCGCTCGCCGCCCGCCAGGCCGTGTACCACTCCACACCTGACATTCGTCCGGACAGCGTGCCCATCCCGACGGAGCCGTACAGGTGAGACGGCGTGCCGGCCGCCGCGGCGCCTCCGGCTGGCGCTGCACGGCTGCAGAGCCTTCGCTTGGACATTCCCAGATGAAAGGGCCGAAGAATGGATGTTCGGTTCGCTTCGCTTTCTTTCCGATCGAGTGCATTTACAAAGAGGAGCGACGGGACAGTCGCATGAGAGCCAGTCAGGGATTTGAACTGCACTGGACGCACCTCTGCTTATGTAGACTGTATGGCATGTGTATCGTTTTCCCAAGTAATGTCCAGGGTGGTCCGGTGATGTGGCGTGTTCCCCCCCCCCCCCCCCCCCCACTAGTTTCGCGCTTCCACACACGCGACGCCAGGCCGTGAACAAGGCCGTGCTGCACATTGCTTTTCCATGAAACCATGGTAACACAGTTTCTAGGCCGCGCCGGCGGCAGCGGTATTAGTGGCGGAGTTTTTGTTGCGTGGCCGCCGCCAGAAAGCCAGATTGGCGGGGCGTGTTTCCGGGTAGGGCCACCGATGGGCAGTTGGCGTAAACACGGCTATCGGAGGTCAATACCGTCGCTCGCTGTGCCGTGGTACGGACCGGAGCCGAACGACACCACACCGCAGCCGCTGGAGCTGGTCGTGTTGGCTGACGAGGGACCCACCGGTCCCTACCCAGTTTGAAACATGTGTAGACGTTCTGACGTATCGGTTCGCATCGGTCCCCGTGTGGTTCGGAGTAGAGGGAGCCGGACGCCGCGCGCCGCGCGGCTTGTTTCACAGTAGTGATGCGACGGCGGCCAGTGTCGTCCGCTTGGGCGCCTGTGGTGTCGCTGCGGGCAGCCAGGCCGGGTCGGCGATGTGGACGGCCGCGGCTGATCCGTGCAGGGGTAACGACACAGTAACAGCCCGTGTCGTCCGCTGTCTGTCGACCGAAGCTCAACCGGCGCCGTCCCGTGCGTGACGCGCCGCGGTCGGTGCCGCCATGCTGGATCACTTGGTCGACAGAAATCGATGCCGGTGACGGCTGTGGCGCGCCGTTTCTGGGCGTCACGAGCGTGATACCGAACCCGGCCTCTGACGCACCTGTGCGGAGCGGAGGCGCTCGTTATTGGGGCTACGAGGGTTGGCCACTGGTGGGGGTCTGCTGAAGCAATGTGTGTATGTGTTAGTGAAGCGATGGCGCGCTGGGATGAATAGAAAATGGAAGAGGGCTCGTTGGCGGTTGCCTTGATTGCGGACAGGGAAGGGAGGAATCTCAGGCTGCGGAGAATGTCGAGCGTTCCATGGCCGTGAGCTGGAAAAGAGCCCCTCCTCCCTCCCCCTCCGTGAGGATCGAGGTGACGCCGCAGCGTGCGACTCGCGTAGCCCGTTGGTTCGACCGAAGCCCCTGCGCCTCTCGGTGCTCGTCATGCACGCCCAGCAGTACGCATATTATTGACGGCACGCTGCAGCTTCCGCCAGCCACTGGCAATCCGTCTGTCGTATCGCACGGCCCGGACGGCGCGGCCGTGCGGGCGCTGAGCGTGGGCCGCCCCGACCGGCCTGGAACGATGCTAGGACCCGCCGCGGCGGGCCGCTCCTGCCGCCCCGCTTTGGACCGTCCAAGCTATGCGGGACGGTCGGCCCCCGGTGTGGGCTGCTGCGGCGGCGACCTGCGTTGTCAGAGCCGTGTGAAGGTGACACCAGACTTCAGTGTCGGCGGCGACTCTCCCAGACCCGGCTGTAAATGATCCAAGCGTTGTATTGCGGGCGGGTGGGGTCTGGCTCCGCGCGTCTGTGTGGTTTTGATATGGCTATGCTGTGCGTCATGACGTGGCCGTCGCTGGCTGCGACCGTGACGCATTGTTTGCCCGATGCCGGCTGTGACCGCGCGTCTGCTCGCCCCAGGCCGCAGCCGGCCGGCCTTCGACACAGCCCGTCCGACCCGGTGATCGTCCGCGGCCCGGAGGCGGCCGTCGGCCCGGCGCCCACCGGCACGCAGCCGCCGTACGGCTCGTACACGCGCCACGAGTACCCGCCGCCGCCGCCTTCGGCCGCCGACTCGGACATGGAGGGCCGCAACATCGTGCCGATGACCGGCGACAAGCCGTCCGGCCTCGACATCGACGACTTCCTGCCGGTGAGCGCCGGCGGCCGCGCCGCTGCCGACGGCGGGCCGGCGCCGCGGGGTCGCGGGCCGGGGTCGGCGTCTTCAGAGCTGGGGAGGAGATGCGTGAGTCCCCGGCTGTGCGGGATGTGTGTTTTGTCTCTCTGCCGTGTCAGCCGCTGTTATAAAGACGCTGATGATGCCCACCGTTTTTAGCGGCAGCTGCATGCATGACGGTCGTGTTTGCCGCCTGGGTTTAGTCAGCTGTCTGCGTACAGGTGCGCACGTTACGTTTGGCGCGCTGGGTTCGACTGAGTGTCCGCGTCTGCCGCGCCCACAGAACAAGTTCGGTCGGCTGGGCTTCGGCGGCAGCCAATACTATTCGGCGCAATCGGCCGTGTCCGAGGCCGAGGCGTTCAGCAGCATCGTCAAAGGCCACGATTCGATGATGTCTGTGCTGACAAACCGGCACCGCCAGCTGGAGATCACGCACTCGCTCTGGTGCAGCAAGGACGCCAAGACGGCCATGGAGCACGTGGTGGCGCGGCACGACCTGGCCGTCAGCGTCGACCTGCTCAGTCAACTCAACCTACGGCCGTGAGTATGGCCGCCCGCTCAGTTAGCTCAACCTGCGGCCATGGGTATGGCCGCCCGCTCAGTTAGCTCAACCTGCGGCCGTGAGTATGGCCGCCCGCTCAGTTAGCTCAACCTGCGGCCGTGAGTATGGCCGCCCGCTCAGTTAGCTCAACCTGCGGCCGTGGGTATGGCCGTCTGCTCAGGCTCAACCTGCGGCCGTGAGTATGGCCGCCCGCTCAGTTAGCTCAACCTGCGGCCGTGGGTATGGCCGCCCGCTCAGTTAGCTCAACCTGCGGCCGTGGGTATGGCCGCCCGCTCAGTTAGCTCAACCTGCGGCCGTGGGTATGGCCGTCTGCTCAGGCATTAACCTGCGGCGGCGAGTATGGCGCCCGGTCAGCCAGCTTATTCTGAGCAGGCTTAAGGCAGCGTGTGCTCTACTCCAGTACGCGCGCGCGCGCACCATTGGGGCTTTACGACGGACTCAGCTGACGAGGCATGTGGCGTCGCCTGCCTCTCACCGTGGCAGGAAGGGCGGGCACCGTGGGTAGCCCTACTCCAGCCAGCTGAACGTGAGGCTGCACGAAGGGACGCGTGATCATCTAGCTTTGCATGGAGCCGCAAGACAGAAGTTCACAGCCAGGTGGTAACCCACATCCAATAATCCGACGATGGGGACCCGCCCGCATGATTTGTGACGTGTGTGCGTGTGCGCGTGCTCGTGTGTGAATGCTTGTCTTCTGGCTGGCGGCGTGTTTGTCACTCGTTTCTGGTTGTTTGCGTCGGCAGTAGCCGCTACCACAGTCGTCCTCGCCAGTTTTTGAGTCTGTAAGACGGTCGGCACGCTCCGCCGTATGTATCCGTGTTGTGGTAGGGGGTTTTGGGTTGTGCTGGCTGGCCACGCTCAGTCAGGCAGCTGTTCTGTGGACTGATTTTGGCCCGCAGGGCTGTTCCTGCTGCGTGTTCTACTGCTGTTCTGGCGTTTCTGATCACGGTTTCCTTGTTGGGCAGGTCGATCTGGAATCTCGACATATGTCAGGTGCTGTTGCCCTCGATACAGGAGCTACTACAGTCCAAATACGAGATGTATATGACTGTGGGCTGCAACTCGCTCAAACTCATCCTGAAAAACTTCGCCCACATGATCAAAACCAATATCCAGAGCCCCGTGTACACACACGGTGTGGACATCTCCCGCGAAGAGAGGTGAGCTGCACCGACTCCATCAATCACACCGACTGGACAGTGGCTTGTCGCGCTGTTCGAGCGAGGCGGTCGGCGAAACTTTTGGGCGACCCCGTCACTAGCTAGTGTTGCTGCCGGGCTTCTCTCAACTCGTTACTCCTCACGTGTGCACGCGACGATACCTGCTCTCCTGCAATCATTGTTTGGAGAACTTCACCTCGATGACGGTCGTAGCATTGCCGCCAGATGTTGTTGCCGTGCTCCATGTTGCTGGGAGCATGCCGGCGTCAAAGCAAAGCGATGCTCGGTTTGATTCGGCAGTGTTCGTGTTCGTTTGCTTCCAATCGTTGCCACTAGTGCGTTGCCAGTGCTCTGGAGAGGTGGCGACATCAGCCCGTATGCCGTCGGTCTCGCGACGACCTCAGCACGGCCGCGGCTCCCCACTAACGCGGGCGTCGCCGCCTGTTTCAGGTACAACAAATGCAAGGGTTGCAACGATCAGCTGCTGTCGATACGCGCGTTCCTGCTGAAGCGGCAGACGCTGCAGGGCAAGATCGGCCAGACGTTTCGCGAGCTGCACATATTGATGCAGGCGCTGGACTGAGCGCGCTCGGCACGCTCGCCGCCACCTGTGATTGCAATAGCCGTGGCCGGGGCCGCGCCAAATTCCCGTGCCTTGGGGCCGCGCGCGGCCGCGGGCGCCGGCCGGCCCGGCACGGCGCGCTTAGTCTAGTCGACGGAGAGGGAGCGAGCGGGAGCGAGGGGGCAGCTGAGACGGGGCCGGCGGACAGAGATCGAGAGCGCGCTAGATCCGGAGCGCTGTACATACGGACCGGGTCAGACGATCTCAGTTCCTGTTGTGTGCGATCATGTGCAAGTAATCGGAGCTGCCTTCCCCGCTGCCGCGGATGCATAATGTCATTTTTACGTGCCAATTATTTCTGTTGGTCGGTAGGTGTGAGTGTGTGTGGGATTCGGTTCTCGTGATATTGTTTCGTTTGTCTCGCGCGGCGCGTCCGCATGACGGGCGGCCGTCAGACCGCTGTGGCCTTCCGGTAGCCAGTCTGAGCCGTGGCCCGGCTCGGGGAGCGGGCCGGCGCAGTGGTCCGAGACCGAGACCTCCCGGCGCGCTTGTTTTGCGCCGCCGACGGCTAACCCACGCCTCGCGGGCGTCTGTAACACCCGGACGCGAGCTACTAATCTCGTTACGAGCGGCGTTCGCTGGCAGTGCGCTGGCTGGCGCTGCGGCGCGCCGTCGGCGCCACGGCGCTAGGACCACGGGCCGAGGGCCGCCGGCCGACAGTAACATTCCCCGCCTAGGCTGAGATCAAACGTAACGTCTTGTTAATACACGCTTTTTAATGAGGTCCTGTGTCTATGGACGTGGCGAGAACGGACCGCAGCCGTCAGCAAGCGATGGTGATGTTCACCGCGGAATGGAGATCTCAGAAACTGCGCCTCAGTGACACGTTAAAACACCAATAAAAAGACTGGGGGGGGGGGCAATGCCGCGGGGCGTCAGCAATCACTGTCCGTGACGTGCCGGCACTAGGGTCGTGTTCGAGCCGCGCCTCTCCTGTTCGAGCCCCTCCACCGGCTACAGCGGGATGGCCAGAACGTCTGTCGCCGGTGCGCTACCCTGCCCAGGGGCCGCCTGCTCAGACACCGACACTCGAACGACGCTGTTGACGGGTGGCGCCGGCCGCCGCGGGGCCTCCGGCTGGCCCAGCTCCGCCGGCTCGGCCAGAGCGTGCACCAGCAGCTCCTGCTGGTCGCCGATGCTGGTGTCAGCGGCCAGCTGCGCCTGCTGGGCGCGCCGGCGTTCCGCGGCCACGCTCCGCTCGTTCTGGGCGGTGTAGCGGCGGCGGGCGGCCGCCTGCTCGGCCACCAGCCGCTCCTGGCTGCTGACCAGGCGGGCGACCTCACGGTAGGCGGCGGAGTCGCGCCGGACGGCCGCCGCCGCCGCCTGCTGCAGCCGCTCCGCCTCGGCCGCCTCGGTCCGCAGCTGCGCCTCCAGCCGGGTAGCCTCGTCCCGGAGCAGCGCTCGCTCGCGGGCGCGGCGCGGCTGGGCGGCACGGCTCGGCTCCTCGGCCTCACGCGAGCGCTGCACGGCGGCCGGCAGCGCCCGCTCGGCCTGGCCGGCCGCCGCCTCGGCCTCGGCCGCCTGCTGCTGCCAGAGGCCGGCCGCCGCCTGGCTGTCGGCCAGCGCGCGCTGCACGCTTTCGGCGTCCTTCTCTAGCGCGGCCAGCTGCGCCGTCTGCCGAGCGGCTGCCTGATCGGCCGCCGCCGACGCGTTCAGTGCCGCTGCCGCGCGCTGCTCGGCATCGCGGACGCTCGCGCTCGTGGCTGGGTCACGGAGCACCTGCGCCTGGCGCTGATGGAGCCAGGCGGCGTAGGCGGTCGCCCGTTGCACCAGGTTTCGCGAGGCGGCGCCCACCCTCGCGGCCAGATCCTCGAACGCAGTGAGCTCGCTCTCCAGCAGCTGGCGGTCGTCCTCGAGCGCCTCCAGCGCCGTCTCGTTGACGTCGACCTGGCGGTCCAGCTCCGCTGCGATCCCCGCGACATTCCGCTTCCACCGATCCACTCGGAGCACACCGTCCACCCAGCCGTCTTCTCCGTCGCCGTCATCCCGCCAGCTCTCGCTCGGGGGCGCCGAGCCACCACCACCACCACTACTATCACCACCGCCGCCGCCGCCGCCGCCACCGTCGGCCGGCGCGCGGCCCGTGACACCTGGCGGCCGGTCTAGGATGGGTCGGCCCCGCCGCAGCACCGGTTCGGCGCGGCGGCGCGGCAGGCGCGCCCACCAGTCGGCCAGGTGGCTGTAGAGGCCACGCCGCCGCGGCAGCGCCGTCGGCGTCACATCAACGTAGGGTCGCGCCGGGCCAGACCAGCAGCCGCCGTGGCACGGCTGCTGCTGCCGCTGCTGGCCGTGTGGCGGGCACGCGCCGGGGGCGAGCAGCAGACAGAGCCGGCTGCGGCTGCGCTGGCCGGGGCCGCAGCGGCTGCTGCAGGGCGACCAGAGGCCCCACGGACTCCAGCCGGCGGCCGGCTGCGACTCGGCGCACTGCCGACCCCTGAAACCTGGGGCAGGCGCAGTCAGGAGAGGGGACAACTGCAGTGCACGTGTCGGGCATTGGTGACAACACATGTGGGCATGGCGGATGGTGAAACCTGCCACAGTGGCACAGCAGTAACCAGCCAAACCTGCAGCAGAGGTCCAGCAGGACGCTGTGATATTTGTGGCCATGGTGCGGAACGAGAAAATGCGCTTAGCCAAGGATCCTAGCCGCAAATCTTTCACATTTCCTCGTTACCGGCCTGCCTTTCCTATCATCACAACAGTTGGTAAGATTGCGTAACATGTCGATTGCCTTTCAAGCCGCGGCAGGGCTTCTTCAGCCCTGAGCTAGCTGTAACAGCCATCAATCCGTGTGGACACTTGGTTCCATTCCGCGGACCTGAATGCCCGAACGAAACAACTGAATGCCTCTGGCTGTCGCACAGTCACCGGACGGGAGTCCCGACTCCGTAGGGAGTCCTACGGACTGACGGCCGCAATCCCGTCCGGCTCCTCGAGGACACCAGAGTCAGAAACAAGGACTCCACGTTGAAAAACATTGACGCGTTTTGGTGTTTTCGTGCATGTGGTTTTGCTCCCAGCACGTGTAACCACTAAGCATGTGCCCCTACGGATACGCAACGGTTGAGTTGCGACTTAAGCATGTGTTCCAAAAATGTCGCGGTACTTTCAACACATCAGCATTCCAGATGCACAAGGTTCGCATCGAAAGCTGTGTCCCGGTTTTTGGGAATATACATGTGATCGTCATTGTACATTTCTTTTCTGGCATTAAAATGTCCAGAGCACCTAGCATGAAATATGCGGCAACTGCGTATATTATACGGCGTAGCTGCGTACAGCGCGCAAGCACAGTGCATCTTGACACTCTATATTCCCAACGCGTAAGTCGACTTCCTACACAAATTCGTCGCAGGACACTCGCGCAGGACAATTTCAAAGCTGCGGGAAAACTTCACTGTGGTCTTGTCGTTCGGTAACATATCTAAATCGTCCCTTTCCCAGGCTTTGCTGGTCACAGAGGCAATTTCGCAGGCTCGGCGAGCACACTAGTCTTGCTTTCGGTGAGCACGCGCGTCTCTGTCCGCGTCGGCTGCTGCTGTCGCTTGCTGGCCTCCTGCGCCTGGTACGCCGCCTGCGCACTGGCGCGGCTCGCCTCCTGCGCGCGCAGCTCCTCGGTGGCAGCCTCCTTCAGCATGCTACGGAGCGCGGCCTCTCCCCGACGGCGCAGCTCGGACATCTTGGCCTGCTCGGCCGCCGCTAACTGACGCAGCCGCTGCCGCTGCTCCTCCCGTTCCGCCTCGGCGGCACGCGCCCGCGTCTCGGCGGCGGCCGCGCGCTGGCGCGCCGCGTCCAGCCGGAGGCGCAGGCTAGCCGCCTGGCGTCGGTCCGCCGCCAGCCGGTGCAGCAGACGGCGCCGCTCGGCGCGATCCTGCGCCGCGCTCTTGGCCTCGGCCAGCTCTAGCCGGCGGCGCCGCTCGAGCTCGGCCGCCAGCCGAGCCTCGGCCGTTGTCCGCCGTCGGCCCTGCCGCTCGGCGCTCAGCTTCGCTGCGGCGACGAGCGCGCTGGCGGCGGCGGCGCGCTGACGCAGCTCCCGCAGCCGCCGCTCGGCCGCCTGGCGCAGCGCCGCCTGGCGGGCGGCCGCCTGCTCGGCGCGGCGGCGGCGCTGCGTGGCTGTCTCGGCGGCGGCCAGCGCGGCGGACCGCTCGGACGCGCGCGCCGCCTCCGCCTCACGTAAACGGGAGAGAGCTGTGCGCGCCTGCTCCACGGCGGCCGAGACGCGGCGCCGCAGCAGGGCAGCGGAGGGGAGGTCCACGTCGCCGGTGGACGGCACAGTTCTGTTAGGGGCGGACGCCGTCTCTTCGCCTGATGAGACCATTGTGAGACTCTGTGCCACTGAGGTCCAGTTCTGGCCAAGCGCTGCCTTTTCAGAGAATATCTCTACGTGGCCTGGCACCTGGGTCTGTTCCTGATCAGCCGTCGCGTCCACTGCGGATGCTTCTAGGCCACCTGCCGTGTGTGACCGGACATTGCCGATAGTAATGTCATCAATGAGTGTTTCTAACCTGCCTGGTACCGCTGAGGACTGCTCCTGACTCACACTCCAAACGGATGCTTGAAGGCCTCCTGTTGTCTGAGACTGGTCCTGACCTGCCGTTGACACCTCAGCAAGCGTGTCCGGGACCTCATACTCATCTGGCCCCTGAAGCTGAGGCGGCCCCTGGTTTGTCACTTCTTCCTCATCAGGTGTTTCTGGGGTTGGGCGGTTTCCAAACGTGGCAAGCTCTGTGATATTCACGGAGACGTTATCGTTGGAGCGTTTCTTGGCATGTGAGTGATCCCGTTTCTCGACGTTGCCCGCGTGTTGCACGGATCTACGGCATCTCCCTTGCTCCTTTAATGACTGTATCAAAATGTTCACCTTACTCTCGTCTTCCCGCACATCCCTGGTTTCTTTAAAGTCGCTTTTCATCAGTGGTATTTCGAAGTCTTCGTAGCTTTCAATTTGCGCTAGAGAACGCTTCTTTCTAACGGGTTCAAACCCGAGAAAATGCAGGATCTTCCAGTGGTGAGCCAGTGAGTCTGTCCTCCGTGCCTCGCGCCTCCACCCGTCCTCTGCTATCTCCGGGATCAGCGTCTCCGTCGTCCCCTCTCGGCCGTGCTGACCCTGGCCGTCGTCTCCCTGCGTCTCCTTCTCCTCCTGCTCGGCGCCCTCCGTCTGGTCGGGGTCACAGCCGGCGCGCGCCCGGCACGGCCGGGTCTGCTCTGCCTCGCCCAGACAGCCGGGCTGGCGGCGCCCACACGTTCTCGAGCGCACGCGTACGCCCTGGCCGCAGTCGCTGAGGCAGCGCGACCAGGCTGACCAGGCGCGCCAGCCGTCGGCGGCCAGCGACGGCAGCGCCCTCACCTGACAACGGCCGCCTGAGAAACCTGTCGACACACAGGGCGGCCGTCAGTGCCGCTGGCCGCCGGCGGGAGGGAGGGCAGCGCCCGGTACCGCCAGAGGGCGGGCCAGGCGCGGCGACCTGACGCCCGCCACTGTGTGTCGGCAGCGGTTCCCCCCGCCCGCCATGCCGAGCACCGCAATGCTGGCGTTTCAACAATGTACGCGCATTTTGCTACGCATTTAAGTCACGCATAAAGGGAGAGTGAAACAAAAGCAACAAAAGACATGCGTTTTAAAGTTGCCGCTGCATTTTGAGAGAGAAAAACATTTGAGTTACGCCGATTACACCAGCCCCCTTTCATCAACTCATAATCATCCCCTGGTTTTGACCAATCTGTTATCACCGTATTGATTAGAACGCGCACTTAAACGCATTCAGTGGGATTCGCGTAAAAATTATATGCGATAATAGCAAAACGCTGTTTAACGTTTGCTGTTGTCGTCGACTTTACATCACATTCAGTCACAGAGTACGTCAGTTTATGCTGTCAAGCTAAACAAGCTAATCCCGTTTAAGCCGATAGCCACGCTGAATAGTGCAAGTCACCAAAATGCATCCTAGCGGAGCATGTCACTGTACGGTAACAGGGTCGCGTCCCCTGAATCACCACCATGGAAGGCGACTCTGAACGTATGAAGCACTGCGCGGCAACCCCGTGTTACAGCGGTATAATGCGGCACAGCATCGTCTTGGAGCATCATGCGGAACAGTATCACAGAAAAACGTTATACGGCTCAGCATCGCCCATTAGTGCAGTGTAACACAGTATCATATACAACCAAAGTTCAACTCAGAGTGACCTTGAAACGAACGCAGCGTTCCTCGAGTCTCCAAACACGATGAACAAACACGACGAACCGCGATGTGGCGCGAAATCAGCTTTTTACTTCATTTTCCGAGAATTACAAGTTGCCATCGTTGAAACTTCAGTCTTAATCACGTAGGCTGGAAGCTTGTGTTGTTTTTTATCACATCACCTGACAGTCTCCATGAATTTTCGCTCGCGCTAGGCTGCTTGTGGCGTTCTACGATTTTAGTGGGTCTTCCGCATGGCTTTTGAACACCTCCGCTAAGGGTTGGTATTTTCATCTTCGTATATATATATATATATATATATATATATATATATATAGATCGATAGATAGATAGATAGATAGATAGATAGATAGATAGATAGATAGATAGATAGATAGATAGATAGATAGATGCCTTGCGCTGGACTCGAGCAAACTGGTACTACCTCTCAGCAAGTCCTACACGCGGCTGAGACGAGCCCGGTGCAACACCCACCAGACCACCAGGACTCTACACACGTGCATGAGCGCCCGCATGCATCTGGTGACCACACCAGCACTCCGACACGATCAGGAACCCGTAAAGGCTGTTTCACAAGTGCAACGCCACCTCGTGCGGACTCTGTGTCTGCTCACCAGCTTCTCATGCCTGCCCTGTTCTGCACAGCGCCTGCACAGTTGAGCACTCTGACCTGGCCTGCAAGTGCACCTGAAGGAGCCGGCCTCTCATGCCTGCCCTGTTCTGCACAGCACCTGCACAGCTGAGCACTCTGACCTGACCTGCAGGTGCACTTGAAGGAGCCGGCCTCTCATGCCTACCCCGTTCTGCATAGCGCCTGCACAGCTGAGCACTCTGACCTGACCTGCAGGTGCACCTGAAGGAGCCGGCCTCTCATTTCCCGCCCTGTTCTGCACAGCGCCTGCACAGCTGAGCACTCTGACCTGACCTGCAGGCACACTTGAAGGAGCCGGCCTCTCATGCCTGCCCTGTTCTGCACAGCGCCTACACAGCTCGGCACTCTGACCTGGCCTGCAGGTGCACCTGAAGGAGCCGGCCTCGTTATGGCAGCGGCCGCCGTTGAAGCAGGCTGGCACCAGCAGCGCACACTCGTCGATGTCGACACAGCTGGGCTGACTCTCGTGCAGCCGGCTCCAGCCGGAGCGCGCGCCGCAGCCGCAGTCGTAGCCCGCATGCGCGTTGGAGGAGTTGCGGACGCAGCTCCAGCCGGGGCCACAGGTAGCGCTGCCTGCAGCACCGAAACCACCCCTGACGCCGGAGACCGGACGGCGGGACCGGGGTGTAGAGGCGGGGCCGCAGGCGGCACTGCCTGCAGCACCTGCAGCCCCCCCCCCCCCCCCCCCCCTTGACGCCGGAGACCGGGCGGCGGGACCGGGTTGAAGAGGCGGAAGGGACACGGTTTGGCGGATGGTACCGAGGCGCAGGATTGCGACGCAAACTAAGGGAAGCGTCAGTGCCAAACACAACAGAACTGAGAGGGAAGATGTCGGTGCTTTGCTACAAAAAAGCAACGTTGTGGCCAATGCCAGGCGCCGTACTGAGATGCATTCACACATTTGTTACAGAGATGATGAAAATGGGAATAAAGCGTTAAATGAAAATACCTTGTCTTCCTAGTTTGCTTAGTTTTAGTTTACCTAATTTTTACCTGCTTTAACCTAGTGAGTCAACTAGTAGTATCTAGTTTTGCGTATCATGTTGATTACGGAGTGTCAACAACAACAACTATACACCCATGACTCAGGCTCCCGGAGTCATTGGCCGGTGCCGACAGCCAGCAAAGGGCTGAACCTACCATCAGAGCATGGGTCGCGCTCCATTTGGCACGTGGCCCCCGTCCACGCCGGGGGGCACCGGCATGTGACGACTGGCGGGCCGGCGCGGCTGGCCGACACGTGCACGCGGCAAGCCCCGCCGTTCTCACACGGGTTCTCGACGGCACGAGCCTCGCAGGAGAACAGCTCTCGCGGCCGCGGAGAACCTGACAGCAGGCACCATCCGACATTCATATGCTCAGCTCTGAAACACTGTTATTTATAGGTTTTAAGGACACATTAGCTGCAGTGGTTACCCGCACTTGGGGTAAATAACCATTGCAACGCATTGGTGCGTGGGTGCACACTTAACAACGCGAAGAACGTTTAAAAACTGCGTGTAGTTATTCATCTGCTGCAAGTTGCACTGCATTGCTCATGATGTTCAATACTGCTGAAGGATCGTAACAAAAGAATATGCGTCGGAAAATGGGGGTCGTTTTTCTACAGTCCACAGGCACTTAAGGCACCGCATGGGCATAAGACACTGAGTTGCAAAGACAGAAGATATATATATATATATATATATATATATATATCCCAACCCTAATCTGTTCCGGACTGTCTCCGAACATTTCCCCAACAGGGGTGTCGGGAGCGCTTCCCTAGCTGCTCACGGTGATTACACACTGAAAAATGTCCCATCCCGATTGGTATTTCTCAACGTTTTCCCAAACGGCCTGTCGGGAATCCCGAGTGCTCTCCGTTCTACCTATGGCGATTACGCACATAAATACGACTTCCTCAAGCAAATCTCAAATCTGATTATCGAGAGGCCCGCGAAAATCCCATGTTTCCCCATGTTTCCCCAAGTGATGGTCGGTGGTGCCGGAGACATCTTGAGAGCCCTAAACATTCCCCACGACGGTTGGGGAAACTTGGGCTTTTCCACGTTTTTCCAACATTGCCAATGTTTTCTCCATGCAAACTGCTGGTTGGGCTCCGTCCCCCCTCCCTCCCCCATTGCAAAAACTTGCATGCATCCTTGCCCGTAGAGCCCAGGCTAAAACAAAAACTAGTCGCAGCATGACAACGTAAGGAGAAGCCTTTTAACAAAACAAATATACCAAGTGCTCCCTCATGCGTGTTCAACTAACACAAAAGCTTCATTAAACACAATATCCTTAAGTCTGGTTATTATACCCGTTCTTCAAGAATGCATTATATACAGGCATGCATTAAACATCAAAGAATGATCATTGCAACGCGTCGAAGCCTCTAAAATATCACAGTTAAATTGTATTATCACGCTGATTAAGTACATCGCTTGGGCAAGAAAGTTGAAACGGGTGCATTAAATATCACTCATTTCTCAACTTTTTTGGCGAGTTAGGTTATGCCAGTGAATTCCGCAACACTCGTTGAACACTGATTTAACCTTACATAAATTCTCAAATCGGTTGTGTTGTTGGGACGGTGACAGTAAGCAAAGTGTCAGCTGTCGCAAAATCGCTGTCTAATAAATAGGGTTCAGAATGATTTTCATAGAGGTTTTTGCGCAGAACACGGTTATAGGCATCTTACCGCCGATGAGGCTGAGGTGGTTGACAGCTATCATGACCAGCAACACACCGTTGAACATCTTACAGGGAGCCGTCCCATGCCACTGAGTATCTTTTTCCAGATGAACAGCTCCTTGTTCCAGAGGCTGTGGGCACCAAGGCAGATGGGAAAGGAACAAACATGCAAACGATCGGTTAAAGTTACACGTTAGGGAATGTTCCGTCTTGGCGCGTATGTTCAGCTCAGTATGCAGTAAAGAGTGGCAGTCCGACGTGAACGAAATGAGCACGAAGATTTTATAATTCTCTCAATGTTTCTTTTATATTGCATGGTCACTTAGCTTCTGGTGTTTTGTTTGGGTGTGTCACGAGGCTTGTGTCAGTCGGATATGACTATAATATTAATATAGTGTCGGCTACAATATGAAATGCAAAATTGCGCTGCAAACTATGTTTCTGCCGGTTTGTCATCACATGAGAAAATAGAGGCAGCAAATTTTCTGAGATCAAATGCATTTGGAGAGTGGTGCCAGCTAGACAGAATTAAATATAGAATCTGGAATTGATTCGCCGGATGTTGTACCACCAATATCACTAGACGGGGATTCGTGCCTCCACAGAACCCGCTTATTCCGGCAGACGTGATCTCGAGCTCAGCAACTGAATAATCACTGCATAAAGTGTCACCAGCTCACAGTTGTGCTATTCAACTGAAACCCGCACATGAGAGACTCATATCCTTGATCTTGGCATAACCTTGATGCCTTTAAACGACAACACGCGATCGCAACACACATCACATGCCAAATTGCCCGTTGGTGCTATTCTTCACAAACAGCATGTCATGCGTCATTGTGACAGCAAACGACAAAACTCACTTGCGACAAAACCGTCCAACTAAAGACATTTTCCAACTTACCCCGCAACTTACCTTATGGCGTCCCGTTTGGTAAGTCGGTGGTCAGACAATCTACATGACGAATGAAACAACTGGCTTATCGTTCAATTTCTGTTGCTGACAAGGTTAAGTGCGTTTGTATTGCTGAGTCTCCACGAATTTCCACTTGCTCCAAGATCTAAAAACCATATCGCCCTAATGATGTTGCTGATGGCGCGCAATGCTAGACGGCCTACAGGAGGAAGCCTTGGATAGCAAGGTCCGCTACCTGTACAACGCTTTGGCTACCTTGGCCCACCAAAGTCAAAGTTGCAACACAGCATACAAACGTCGGCAACTGCTGACATGCCTCACATTCGCTCTGACATCCACGCTGAAATGTCTGCAGTTGTCCGTTTGCTTATTTCTAATCCTATTTCACGTGCCGAAGTGTTATGCTAACTCCTGTGTGGGACTGGCTTGGCAAGGAAGCAAATACTTTTGCATTATGAGGCGATCGAACACCCGCTTATTGTGAGGTTCATCAAAAGGTTTATCGTGCACATACATTAGAGACACAACCATTTTAAGGATGCGTGGATAGAAGCATAAAAGTCCTCATGGGCGTGGAAATATGGGGACCGGGGGCCCATGGGCTCCGCCTTTTTAAGGTGGGGACCAGCAGTGTTAACTACCCCCCTGGGCCCCATATTTCCCACTTCTCAGATCTAATCTGCGTTCAGCTTGCTTTGTGCTATCTTAAAACGTGCATGCCGATTTGTTTAGCTTACCAGCCATGTTCCACGAATGACACTGGATAAAAGTGTGTCATGCGGTAAATAGCAGTATTTTACCCTACAATGTACGGTGATTTTCATGTTTCATATCCAGTTTAAAGGCCGACTCCAGGCTATTCTAGATCCAAATGCTCTGTCCAGTTTTTTATAGAGCTTTAGTTCTTTTGCTTGACTGCTTAGTCTTCTCAGCATGGGTTCATGGGGTCTGAGATGGATCTAGCATAGGAATTTGGCATAGTCCAGTATGCCAGGTAAAAAGTAGGTTTTTTGTTATGCCGGGTTACATGCAACATCGCAAAATTATCGCTACTACGCTATCTGATTGAAAAACCTAGACATCACTTTAACTTCCATGATTTCGTGGACGTTTTGCCATAGGCAACGATGTCATCTTATCTGCCCAACCGATATAGTATTTCCAGGCATTTTATGAAACGTTGGAAGAGCACCGGGCGTTTCGGGAAAGGCCTGACTAAACGGAGCATAAATTTTGTTGTATGGCCGTGCGATCTTTGCTGTTTAAACGGATCGTCTGTTTTGTTGATTGCTCTTTTGCCTTACAGACTATGACGAAATACATGAACTGGTCAAGCGTTAGTCATGTGATAATCAATCATTTCAAATGCGCATCTTATTTAGAGTGAGTCGTCAGAACACCAGCACGTTCAAGTTTGTACCGGGAACCACTGCACCTAGCAACGACGACCGAGAGTCACGAGTCTGCGGGAGGCATTACTGAACGGTTCTGGTTTAGGGACAGGTGTTTTAGGACAGGTGACAGGGACAGGTGTTAACCAGTTGCGTTCGTCCGGTAGTGCAGCGCCATGTACCTGAAGTGCCATACAGCGCGCGTGATATCTTTATCTAGATGCCACCATTTGGCGCCTCGTGTCGTCGAGTAGATTGTGACGAACGACGAGGCTTGTCAGTCCCACACAAGCAACATTTTGAAGACGGTTGTCTCATTCCGTTATTGAGTGCTGCTTGTGTTGAGCCGCGAAATGCTTGTCAACGTTTTGCGAAAGCGTATGAGCCAATATTTTCTCTTCAACCCTCCGGGGAATCTTTTGCGCGTCATCGGTCACACGGACCCGGTCACGCCGTAGAATGGTGGAGTCCCTTTCACCTCCCGCTGGCTGACATCTGCCAGGTAAAGCAATCAGCTGTCTCATGAGCCCCAGCCCATGTGTCTACCACAGCTAGAGTGGGAAGTGTAAAAATAAATATATCGATAATATATACCCCAGTGACCAGCCGCTACATAGCAAGCTCGCAACGGAGGAGAATTACGTGTTCAACGCCCGATAACTGAATGCGATTACCCCTGACCTATGAGGTGAAAGCTCGATGAACGGTATGCATCAAGTAATTAAACATCAAGCATGGAATGACAATCCGAAGCGTTCTGCTTACGGTTTAGTCAGTCTTTGTTAAGGGCACCTTAAGAAATCCCGATAAAGTAAATACATATGTAGAGAGAGAGAGAGAGAGAGAGAGAGAGAGAGAGAGAGAGAGAGAGAGAGAGAGAGATATATATATATATATATATATATATATATATATATATATATATATATATATATACATAATTCATTCGCTTGGTTTGTGTCTGCCTGTCTGTCCCATTTTGCATTACGTTGCGCCATGCCAGACGGCGGGTCGCTGAATGGTGAAATTTGAACACGTCGCGCCGTCACTTGAAGCGGTTCTTCACAGGTACCTCGTGAGCCGCTGTGGTCCGAGGTTTGTTGCGGGACAGTTTTTGCACGGGTGGTCCGAAAATGTGAGCCATAAAAAAATCGACGAGCAGCGGTTCGAAAGCCTGACTACATCCTGGGAGCCGGGTATTGGATCGACGAGAATTAGCACCGTTTGACCGGAAATTGAACAGGGAATCGCATCGTGTGATGTGGGCGAGGTTCCTGTCAGGTATCCCGGAAGTCATTTGTAGGATCGGCCAGAAATGCTATGGATGATATTGAAATCATCCCGAAACGATGCAAACACAGATCGTTTACTGAACGCAACAGGTCTTCACGTTCGCCTTTAAAAAGACAGCTCCGTCCGTTACCGAAGCATTGCCTGCAAGTACTTGTAACGACTCAAGTGTCAGTTGGGTGACATAATCCACGGATGTTGTACGAAAAGCCGGCATTATATAAAACGCCAAATTATGTCCTAAAATACCGGGTTACGCTATCCACAAACGGCAAATGTAAGTGTCCCGCACACAACGAATCAAGTCGGCGATATTAAAGAAGAGGCGAGGAAAAGGCAAATGGATACTCGGTGGAGGAATTTATGCCAAAAACAGGCAGTTTCCTGAAACTCCCCATTGACTTTAAATCCCTACCGGCTGATAGAATTCCGCCTCCCCGGGGGAAACTTTGTCGAAATGGAGGGCGTATTTTAGAAAGCTGGGTAGTCTTGGTTACCGAGGGTATAAATGAGTCGAATAGGCCATATTGTTCACCTGTGGAAAACAGTTGTAGATGTATATCTAACATAGTAGCCAGGAGATTTGCTTATGTTCAAAATGTGCTATATGAATTGAGAGTGTACAAAGCCCTCCTCTCCATCCCTCACCCTCTCCCTCCCCTCCTCCTCCCTTGGTTGCCGGGCTTGCCTCCCAGGTCAAGTTCCTTCAGTTTACTTTGAGCCCGGTGGGACTCAGGTTATACTGAAGGGTATACGTATATAAATTGTTTGGGGTATACGTCGGACTTGATAAATATATGTTTATTCGAATCGTGCCCCTAGACCCAGTGGGACAGCCAATGGGGTGGGGGTGGGGCAAAGTCTTGCGCCCCCGCCTGAAGATGGCAGGGGCCTCTTAAGATGGCAGGGGCCTCTGGATGGAGGGGCTCCTATGACCTAATTTGGCCCACTCCTGGGCGAAATCCTGGCTATGCTACTTCTTAGGCTGTTGGGGTCTCAAGTTTCCGCAGATCATGTTTACTGCTGCTTCTCATCTGTTTGAAGCCCGGCAAAATTGGGTTCTTGTGAAATAAGTTGAAAATATCTCCCAGTCTTTCTGTTATGGAATGTAATCTTCGCTTCATGACATGTCTAAATTGGTGGTCGACGCCTGCTTGGTCGTGGTTGGTCAGCTATGGGAGAATGCTGCGACTAATGACCAGGCCATTGTCGAACAATGTGACATACGTGAGAGGGGTTCGTTGCGACCCCATGTGTCCTACCCTTCCTGCGTCACTGATCGGGAGGCCTTTCGGGAACATGAGGCCCCGTTTTAGGATTGCGAGATCCTTTGCTAGATAATCGCAAGGTCACCATTATTTGGATTTTCGACTCTTACTTACAATATGATACATAAAACAATTTGATTTGTGGGCTCATACCCTCGGCGCATCTTTCATTGAATGCGGAAATATCAAGGGGGTCCGTCGGTGTCGGAAGACTCCATTTTGTTCATGGGGCCCGTGAACAATTTTGTCCCCCAACTCAGAATTCATGGCTGTGCCTCTGGATATGGACAATGTCGAGTGTCTGAACAAAGCGAGCGAACATGTCACGAAATCATGTGTGTTCTTTCTATTATGTCCATAGCCCAGTTTATACTAATATTGCCATCTGAATACATTTCTCTTTGCTGTCTACGAGGGTGCCTACGATACAATTAATCCAAATGCCTCTTTTTGAAATACAGGGCATCATATTGTGATTGTTAACGTGTAAGAAGTCATCAAAGCCACATGATCTTAGATCGCTAAGCTATTATGCCAGCATAAAATAAAATAAAAGCAAGGACGTCTCTGATTTTTTCGAAACTCGATCAGGTTTTTACACAGTTAGTGTCTTCCCTGTGAGTTGAAGCTGTACAAGCCGAAACACTCCGTCGTCGTCGCTGGCTAAAAGCACTGATTGAATAGTCTAGCGTGCTGGTACCATGACACCGGTACGAAGTGCGCCGGCTATGCATGTGGATCTCGCAAGAGGTCCAAATATTACAGCAATTTGGGTTCAATGACACATTCAATATCTCAAATCATGCATGGTCATATCCTGCGCGGATTTCCGCGCGAGTCGATGAAGCTCGGCCGGGAGCCAGCTTCTGACCACATAACTTGCGGTTGTGAGGTGAATGCTCGCCCATCTAAGCCACACCCTCCTCGGGATTCAGGTGTAAATTTATCAAGAACAGATACGACATCCGAATCCAGCAAATCATAATTGGTTTTCAAGCATTTTTGGCGTATGTTGTCGAAAGGCTTAGCCATTTCTGTTCCCCGTTCCACACTTATTTAGCAAAACTACACCACTGGCCGTATCATTTCGCGTATCTTTACATGGTCGCAGAACGTCACCCGTACAACCACTGGGCTGAATGTCAAATCTTCTCCGATATCCTGAGGATTTGGACGACATCCCTATGAAATCGTCTAACATCTGGTGAAACCTCTTGGCTCGGGAGGGCAAAGTTCATGGCCTACGTGCTTCCCTCCTCCCTTGACCTCGTCCCTGGGTCGAGAGGGTGACGACCGCTGCAGCACATGCGCGCGCCGAGCCGGGCCGCTGTCTCGTCCCCGGGTCGAGCGGGTGACGACCGCTGCAGCACATG